AATTAACCTGCCAGTCGGTTCCTGAGGCGCTGAGCAATGAGGCACGACTCCAGTTAACGTCCACAGTGGCTGGAGAAGAACACACGTACAGTACCACAAGGCAGAGAGGCATGCAACTAAGTAGGCTTTCTGGAGCGGTATGAAGGACTAAGGACCATGCGAGTGAAGTTGCCCTCATTTAACGCTACTGTTTTTCAGTCACTGACTCATCGACAGAACAGAGGAAACTAAAGCCTTGTGGAGAATGCGGCATCGTCCCGCTACCTCTCGCATGGCTAAGCGAGCGCTCTACCATTGAGCATTCCCTGTAGACTGCTCTTTGCCTGTGTGCCAACTGATTGTGCCAACTTTTTTGCTTTGTCTGATAGCGCGTCCGGCGGTCCCTTGAAAACAGATGCAAAGACGAGGTGCCGAGGTTAATGGTTTTTTTTGGTTCGACCCATCTTGTGCATCATTATGTAAGTCGCCATGTTCACATGTCAGGTATGACAGGTAGCGTTAAATTAATGCAATAAGATGCCTCTTAATAATTTAGTTCTTGCTCTTCAGCGTTCTTTCATGTCTCTTTTTGAAATGAGAAATTATGGCCCTGTGGCAAAACTTGCCAGAGTAGGCAAAACACCAGTGCCGACACCTGGCAAAAGGCAAACAATTGGCGCTTACGTCACAAAACAAGACGAATTCACTCTTGGGTGGACAGCCTGAAGGAATGCGCTTCACTCCACAGGGCTGGTGTGCTTGAAAATCATAGAAATCCAAGAAGGTGGTTTCAAAAAGGAATAGTAATAGAGCACTTGCCTGCAGTTGTGGAGGTGAATAAGAACATGTTAAAAACAGTCGGTGGATTCGTGTCCCTATAAGAAATCCCATTGAATACAGCCTATTTGTCTAATTTTTTATGTCATGTTTCAGTGCCTTTCCGCGTCATAGTAGGCGTTCTTCTTCTGTGCTGATCGGCATTTTTCCAGCTTACACATGGAAACTTAGATAACATATTTGTAACCACCTTACTGTGTGTAACATTAATGCATCATTATATCAATGCTATACTTTAACAATCTCTCTTCTGAGTCTTTCAGTATAGATAGATAGATAGATAAGAAGATGATAGATAGAATAGATGATAGATAGATAGTAGATAGATACTTTATTTAGAAATTCAAGCATAATAATGTAGTAAGAAGGTAGGGACATCATTTCAATAATAAATGAAAGGTTGGAGTCAAAACATTAGGGAATGTCATACAAGCAGTGTATATGGATATGCAAAAAGTGCATACAATATACATCACGCATCAACTATAAATTCATTAATTTTTAATTTATGTATAATGAATGTACAGAATGCCCTCATGCTCCCCTGTTAATTATATGAGTACAAGAAGTTAAATGGAACACTTTATAATATGTTCGTGTTAATGTATGTAATGCTTGTTTATATGGAATATGTAAAATTGCATCTTTATATTATCTTTATATTTACACACACATGCAGTTCACCTGTGAACCTGCGGCGTCGCTGTTGAGCTGAACCACGGCGGCAACCCGGAAGCTGAAGCTCCACCTGTAATCTCGCGATACGTTTTGTTTTCATTGATTTTGAACGATGGCGTCGGAAGGAGGAGAGGCGGGCAGCGCTGCTACAACCGAACCGGAGCCCGGAGAGGGGTATAACTGCTTCATTCAACCTCTTTTCTACTCTTACAAACATGTAGGCAGTGGTTGAGATCATCAGGGTTAATATAAACTGCACATTCGCGCTTCTTTTAGCCGTAAACGCTGTTAGCGGAGTGGCTAACTCCCGTTAGCTCCCCCACAGACT